ATCGTTTCATAAAAGTTCGAAAATTGTATCCAGAAATTACAATTTTATGTCCTAAATTTTAAATTAGTAGTTCAGAAATTTATGATACTTAGTCCTGAAATTTAAATTATCAGTTTAGAAATTCAGAATACTTAGTCCTGAATTTTAAGATTAGTAGCTCAAAAATTTAGGACACTAAGTCTTGAATTTCAAATTAGCAGCTTAAAAATTTAGCATACTTAGTCTTGAAGTTTGGATGAACTGATTAATCTTTAAATACATTGTAAATTATGAATATTTTTTAAATAACATACTTAAAAGTAAGAGTGTTTGTCACGACCCAATTTCTCCCTCCGTGAACCGTCGCGACGGCACCTAGTCTCTACGACTAGTTAAGCCTAACACTTTGCGGAAATAAAACAAAAACATGAACATTTACTACTAACAATAACAAATATCTAATAAGCAACTGAATGTCAATCGACATATACAATTATCACTTCCGAAATGTACGAAATAATTCCCAACACCCGAAAACTCGCAAGTCATAAGATACTAAGAAGTCTTAATTGTTCTATATATCATTTCTACGGAAGGAAGGAAAAATGAACATAGGGGGATCGAGGGGGACTCCGAGGATCTGCGGGCGCGGGTAGATGTACCTTGAAATCTCCAATAAGCAGCATAGACTGCAACTAGTAATGAGGCTTGTAAGATGAACCTGGATTTGCACACGAAAAATATGTGCAGGAAAGAGCGTGCGTACACACAACAGTACCCAGTAAGTGCCAAGACTAACCTCGATCAAGTAGTGACGAGATTAAGTTAGGGCCCTACTGGTATAAATATAATGAAGTAAGTTAGAACGAGATAACACAGTTAAAATAAAAATGGAAATCTAACAGGAATAGAATTATAGAAAGACAATAGCTCAGAGTACAGAGATAACAACAAGGGATCTCCTGAGATACCGTCTCGTAGTCCCAAACGTAAATGTGCAGGGAGATCTCCCAAAATACCGTTCCGTAATCCCAAAGTAAATATGTAGAACAGAGGGATCTCCCGGAATACTCATTCCGTAGTCCCAAAGTAAATATGCAGTACAAGGGGATCTCCCGGAATACTGTTCTGTATTCCCAAAGTAAATATGCAGCTCAACCAATAGAAATAATAGTTATAGCAAGAAAACCTATAGTTTAGACTAAGTTCAAGCCAAAGAAAGCAGGTAATTTCACTAAATATGATGCACATATTTCAATTAGGCAGTTAAAACACGTAGGCATGCTATTCTAACTAAAACAGGATAGTTACATATGCTAGTGTAGTTCAAATAAGGAGAAACATGCTATGACTTAGTGGAAAAAAGGGGTTTTACAACAAATAACCCGCGTACGTACTCGTCACCTCGCATACACGACGTCACATATCAAAATAATACCAATACTAAGTGGAGTCCCCCCCCCCCAAAAAAAAAAAATTAGGCAAGCCACTTACCTCGAACTAAGCTCAATCAATCTGTCATAATGCTCTTTCCACGAATATCCGACTCTGAATGGTCCAAATCTAGCCAAAACCAATTACATAACATAAATACAACTACAAGAAACTAACCTAGCTATTGAAATCAAAGCTAAGGCAAGAAATTGGAAAATCGCCCAAAGAGCTTCCCCATACACACATCTCGGAATCAGGTAAAAGTCACAAAATACGAACACTCATTCACTCACGGGTCTAACCATACCAAATTTACTCAAATCCAATGTCAAAATCTCGATCAAAACCCCAAAATTCAGTCTAAGAACTCTTCTTAATTTTTCACTCCAAATCCGAAATTAAATAATAAAATTAATGATAGATTAGCGGGATATAACCAAAATCAAGTTAAGAATCATTACCCAATTGATATCTCTGAAAATCTCTCAAAATCCCGTCCAAATCCGAGCTCCCAAACTCAAGTTTTGATAAAAATAGCCAACCTTCATTTTTGAAAACTTTATACTGTCTGCCCAGATTCTCTTCTTTGCGAACGCGGCCACTCTCTCGCGTTCGCGTAGGGCAAAACTTAACTGATCAAAAATCCCTCTTGCGCGAAGGCGAGGGTCCTCTCGCGAACGCGTACTTTCTGTTTCCTGAAGCTTCGCGAACGCAACCTCTACTACGCGAACACGTAGAACAATCCATTGGGATCCCAGCTGATCCATTTTCTCTACGCAAACGCGATGTCCTTCACGCGTTCACGATACACTGATGGCCAAACCTTCGCAAACGCGTCCCCATATTCGCGAACGCAAAGAGCAACTTTCCCTCCTGTCCCAGCTCCTCTTCGCGAACGCGGGACCTCCCTCGCGAACGCGAAGAAGGAAACTAGAGTTGGAGACGCAGCAAAATCTGCAATAATTTTCTTAAGTCCAAAGGTCCGTTAACCATCCGAAATCAACCCGAGGCCCCCAGGACCTTAACTAAACATACTGACAAGTCCTAAAATATCATACGAACTTAGTCGAGCCCTCAAATCATGTCATACAACAATAAATCACGAATCACCCTCCAATTTAAACTTAAAGAACTTGAAACTTTAAATTTCCACAACCGATGCCGAAACCTACAAACCACGCCCGATTGATCCCAAATTTTGCACACAAGTCATAATCAGTATTACGGACCTACTCCAACTTCTGAAATTGGATTCCGACCCCGATATCAAAAATTTCACTACCGTTCCAAAACTCCAAAAATTTGACTTTCGCCATTTCAAGCCTAAATGAGCTGCGGACCTCCAAAACACAATCCGGACACGCCCTTAAGTCCAAAATCACTTAACGGAGCTAACGAAACCAATAGAACTATATTCCGGAGTTGTCTCCATACAGTTCCGACTATGATCCAAATTCTAAGACTTAATCCTCCATTTAGGAACTAAGTATCCCAAAACACTCCCAAAAACCAAAACGAAACCTCTCAGCAAGTCACAATAGCAGAAATAGATACGGGGGAAGCAGTTAATAGGGGATCGAGGCTCTAACTCTCAAAACGATCGGGCGGATCGTTATAGTGTTAATTAGGTCGGCCCGACCCACTAACAACTTCGACCCGGTTCAGCCCGGATTAGCCCAGTTCGGTAAGGTAAGGGGTGGGACAGGTTGGCTAGGGTAGGAGGTTGTGTCGAAAGGGGTCAGACCTTTTTTTTGCTACCGGTGCATCGGAACCCGGCTAGCCCGCTAACCCTTCCAGCCCGATTTTTATTTTTAAATTCTGACCATTGCCAACGGTCAAAATAAAAAATGACCGTTGGGCAACGACCATTTTTTGCACTTTTAGCCATTTTGCCTTATCTCCTTACTAAAATAGCCCCCTCATCCCCTAATAATTGATAAATTACATTCTTAACCTTTTAACAACTACAAATAGCGCCACTCTTCTTTATTTTTTTCACAACTTGCTCTCTTCTTCTACTCTAATTCTCTCTCAATTCCCTTTTGATTATTGAATTGCTTATTTCTCTCAAATTCTCAATTAATTAGTATTTCAAGTTTATCAATTATTTACAGTAGCCACTACAATATTACAATTGTCAAGTGAAGTGTGGTTACCAGTTTTGTTAGGTTCAAGTTAAATCATGTCCTGTGCTTCTAGAGTGCGCTCACATGTTTGGGAACACTTTGAGGTGGTAGAAGAAAATGAAGAAGTTCGTAAAGTTAAATGCAAGAGAACTGTGGTCTAATCATTAATGTTCGTCGAAAAGGGGAAGGCACAACTAGTTTAAGGAGGCATATCAAGAGTTGTCTTGAGTGTCCTCCATCAATTAGTATTTTAAGTTGATTTGAGACAATTTGTGTTATTTTGAATTTGTTAGACTTATTTAAGCTTAATGTGTTAGTGTATTAGACAAGTTAATTTGAAGTATTATTATGCAATGAAAATATGAAACGAAAGCCTTTAAAGTTTTATAATTCAAATTTCAAATTTAAAACTTTAAATTTTAAAGTTTAAAAGTTTAATTTTAAGCCTTAAAAGTTTGCAAACACTTACGTATCAATAATATTGAATAAGAAAAATAAAATATACTATAAAAAAAAGTAACTCGGCCCGATCCGACCCCGTTAAGCCCGAACCCGGACGGGCCCACCAAAACCCGGAAAATTCTAGTCCACTACCAGCCTGAAACCCCAGCCCACTAACAGCCTGAAACAATAATCGAACAGGCTGTTTTTTTCCGTGTCCAGCCTGGACCAGCTCGTTCGATTAACACCTACACTTAAAAGTGGTGCATGGTGTGCCTCGAGAATCAAGTCTAAATTTAGTATAGACTAAATTTAATAAAGTCACGCGTCTACAAATCAGATTATAAATTTTAAAACTACTCCTCAAAAGAAAATTAAAAGCTCTCCAAAGACTGTGAGGTTAGCTGGAGGCAGCTGTGTCCAAGTTTTAGAATTTTATGTTGAGAAAGATCTCAAGGTGTTTGCCTATCAGTCTGCTTTTTTATACTTTTCTTTTCCTACTTTATCTTTTCTTCTTTATTTAGTGGGGATCCAATGCACTGTCTTTCATCATGTATTCTATTTATCCAAAATGTCGAATAATTACAAATGATAAAAGCTTTTCTATGGTAAAGATATTTTATGAAATAATTCAGAGTCTTTATATTGTTTTTTTAAATTGAAACACAGTAGTGCTCCTAATTAGAAATTTAGGCAATAGATAAACTTTAGAAATTGGTTTTTAGTTGGACGGCCTAGATTATTATTTATTACGCACTTTAAGCTCACTTTGATTCTATACATTTAACTCAAATATTTTTTTAACATATTTTAACTTAAATAAACTCTTGAGTCGCTCAAATTGACTTAAACCAAATTAATTATTTTCCGAACTTAGCAAACCAAATATTCCGCCAACTTAACAGAACGATTCTTTATTTCCCGCTAACCCTCATTGGTCCCAAATGGCCAAATTCAGTGACCCAATGTTGCGCTATATCATGGCCCATCCATAGACCTTTGGCGGTCCCTGGAACTCCTCNGGATGGCGGCCATTTCAAGGAATTTTCTTCCTTCAGATTGCTGGATTTTATCCATCTTGCAGGTTTTTAATCAATCGTTGATTTGGGTTTTTCATTTCATCATTTGATGATTCAGATTTAGGATAAAGTTTACTTTTTCCCCCCTGTTTGCTGGCCGTATAAACCCTATCTTCTCATTTAATACTTGATTTTTTCTTTGGGCAAAATCTAGACTCGACTGCTTTCTCCTTCTGAAAAAGGGTATCTTGGAAATTAAGCGGTAACTAACAGTAGGGGACTAAACTGGAATTTCTGATAATCTGATGATGGATGATGATATGGGGATGGATCTGGATTTGAACCAACAACCTTCGGACCCACCTTCGGGTTCACCTTTAGGATTAGTGTCTTTGTTAAATGATTTAGAAACTGCTCACACTAGGATTGAGGAGAGAATTAGGCATCTTGAGGCTGTCACTGCTAGAGCTTTGCAGCGCCATAGGCGGCGTCAGGCTCGCACTACCATTGATACTTCTGGTAATGTGGATAGTGAGATGCAAGTTCAGAACAGCGACAGTGTTTTAGATGTGGCGGAAAGGACTGTGGAGCGGGGATGCAAAAGGGATAGTTCCCATTTGGTAGCAAAGGCATTAGAGATGGATTTAGTGGTTAATAAGGTAGATGATGATGGTGGAAGTTTTTTTGACTGTAATATATGCTTGGATATGGCGAAAGAACCTATCTTGACTTGTTGCGGCCACCTATATTGCTGGCCGTGCTTTTATCAGTTACCTTATGTTGATTCAACTACAAAGGAATGCCCTGTATGCAAAGGAGAGGTTGCAGATGGAAATGTTACTCCAGTTTATGGTAATGGAGATGGTGAAAGCATCACGGAACTGGAGTCTGGTTTGAAAATACCGCCAAGGCCGAAGGCACGTCGAGTAGAGAGTGTTAGACAGCAGCGTGTGACTCGAGGTTTGTCTCACATCCCGGTTGCAGAAGCACTAAGAAGAATTAGAACTAGTATTGGATTGGGGCATCAAGCGCAGCGACAGGATGCTGGTGGAGTTAATTTGAATTTTGTGAGAAGCTCTCATGTGTTGCAAACTGCTGATACCTTAAGCAGCCGGAGACTACGTTCCCGTCTTATCTCGAGGGTGTTGTCAGAAGGCGCTGCTTCTCTTTCATCAGAGTTAGATAATGCACAACGGATGTTTGAAGACCTTGCAGCATCACTCACTGATCGGCTTCTCCAAAGAAGTAATGGAGATGCCGTTCATGGAGCGACAGATGATGGTGATTCTTTCAGAAGAGATGCTGCTTTCATACAGTCAGATATTCGGACTCTGGATGCAGTAGCAGGGACAAGTTCCGCTACATCCATTCCCTCCTCTTCTCAAGCAAATGAAGTCTCTGACACTGTTGTTCAGCTGGAAAACCTTACAACTGATACTCGCAATCTGCCTGTGGGTCGATCTTCCTTGGCTTCCAGGAGAAGAAGCATTTTGTCGAGGCTTTCTGATGTAGATAGCGCACTTTTCCGCGAACCTAGAAGGAGAAGATTGAATTGATGGCCTTTGAATGAATAAGGTATAGTTTCCCAGTTCTTCTCTCAGCTCAATTAAGTCCTTGCCAATGCTTATCACTTTCACGCCATGGTGTTTATTTGCCAACTCTAACGCAACTCGGATAGAAACAGTTCCCAAATATAGACAAGAATCAGTGTTGCCCCTGACTTCAGTTGGAAGATTATATGCACAATATCTTTAGCTGCTTCTAGTTTTGGGATTCACTATAATGGTGGAATTTCTTGATATGAGGCTTTCTCAACAATAAGCTACTGCTGCTGCATGTATTAGGTACTTTGGTTAAGAACCAGTATAAATTCTATCTGCTTGTTCTCTGTGTTTGATCATAGTTCATAATGTACAATGAAAATTCGCATTTCATAAATGTATTTCTGGTGTTTTATTTCGATTTCTTTAACTTGAGTCTTGATTATTCCCTCAAGCTTTGGTGGTGTAAATAGTGTTTTGCATTGTGTCTTGATGAGGAAAATATATTTATAATAAAAAATTTCTTATTCATTCATAAATACTTTCATAAAACTGATATAATATTTACAAAAGCTCACATACTAACATGTTTCTTACAAATCCTCATAACTAAACTCAAGTTAAAGAGTGCACATATCATTTGGTTCTAGCTTATTACAATATTAATCAAATTTGGGACGTCGAATAGATTATTTAAGGATATATAATAGCTGCTAGTTATTTGATTTAGTAAAATTGCTAGCAACGCATCCGACCCAATCGTTTTACTAATAAAGTGGCTATATTTGTTTGACTGTTTTGATCTTTTGATGAAATATACAATTTGAAGCAACATGTAGACCAAATTGACTTTCAAAAACCAGTTTTATGTATTCTTTTCTATTACATTTCATTTTTGTGCAGAAGCTCTTTTAACTATATAAGCTGCTTGTAACAAAAGTATGTTGTAGGTGATAAACGGTGATAATTAAATAAATTATAACTAAGATGAGGATTGCTAGTGGATTGAGTACATTAGCCTCATCTATTAAGGGCTCAACCGGTGCAGGTGATGATCTTGAAGCAAGCAGTAAGTCACCAGGGGCAATCTAGAGACCTTTATCATGAGAGGAAAAATCAATTGGGTTAGCTAGGGAGTAAACCCGTAGAGCATAAATCAGCTGGGCTAGCAAGTGGACTAAACTCAAAGAGGAGTTTTTGGAGCAAGAAGATAAGGCAATTAGTTGTCTGCGGAGTAGGAAATAAGACGTTCAGTTTGCTTGTGTAGAAAAATACGTAAGGGTTCTCTTGAAGTTGGCTTCAACCCTGGTAGCAATACAAATTATTACAAAGCAATCAAAGGTTTTATGAATCAACAAGATTAAATTGGCATCATTATCTCGAGGTTGAGTTTTGTTGTACTGCTGGAGGTTACTTGGGAAGGATCGTGGGAGAGAGAGTTGATGAAGGTCATCATATTTGTCTTTTTCCCACACAAGAAGTATAGTTGTCAAGTTGTGTCCTGTATCTCTTCTTTCACATAGTATTATTTTTTGTGGATATCGGTGGTATATGGGCTAGCTTGGGATACTTTCTTTAGTTTCTACAGGCACAACTGTGTATAACAACAAAAGTTAAAAGGTAGGAGTCTATTAATTGGCACATAATATTCAGATAAGGACTTTCAGAGATTCTCTAGTGTTAACCCCCTGACAAAGGTCCTAGGCAGGTGTGGGTTGTGACAAGGTTTTTCATGATGGCCTTGGCACACAACCTGAAAAATGGGGCAACATCATGAAGGGCTGCTCGGCATGACGGACTATGCGGGGTTCGACAAACGCACCTTGAACGGAAGCAAGACGCATTTTACTTAGATGTGCGGGTTGGCAAAACAATGACAAGGCAAAGCCATATCAAGCAGGGGCAAAGACATGGCAAGGCAAGGCAAGGCAAGGCGGGACAAGCAAAGGCAAATGATACGGACAGATTTGATCAAGTCGGGGGCGACTTGACATGGGCGGGCAGCTTTGACAATGAACGTGTGCGGCTAAGTCAGTGGGTGGCGAGCTGTGGCAATGACATTGGCGTGGAGCAGTGTCATAGGCAAGGTTGGGCGCAATGCCAGCCTTGGCACAAAGTAGCTGGGCGAAAATCAGACCAAGCTGTGCACAAGCAGCAGTTGGAAAACATGTGCCAAACACATGGGAAGCAGTTGGCAGTTGCAACCTCTTCCAAGACATGCTGATCATGGCCTAAAAGTGTGCCCACGTTTTTGTACTTTGTCTTAACTTGTTGCCCATCAGTTGGGGGCTTGTCAACAGATTGTAGCCTTTAAATACTTGCCTAGGCTGTCCAAAACGGGGCAGAAACTTAGTCTAAGGCATTGTGTAGCCAAAATTCGTCTAAGTTATTTTCCTAAGAGTGGGAAAACCAATTTGGGGCAGGGAATTAGGGAATTCTTTGTCTTGGCCATAGGGTTGGCTATTGTGTTCTTGTA